AACCATCCATCCACACACACACACCTAGGGGGAATTTGGAGAGGCCAATTAAACTGACAGTCATGTTTTTGGAGTGTGGGAGAACAAGACGCCCAGCTCCATGACGCCCTCTGGTGGAGAACAAAAATAACTGAAGAAAGGTTGAAATATATTATATTAATATTACAAGATTAAACCAAAACTATTCAATTTTTTTTTCTAATATGATTTGCAGTGTTAAGTTTTTTCACTTCAAATAAAACATTTTGTTTGTAAAACAATTTTGCTTGCTGTATTTTACATAGAATGTGAAGGCATTCCATTTATTTCACCTAGTCGGTTTTCATTTTATTTTATTTTATTAACTGTCAGAGTATTTGACTATGCAACCATTTGCTTTATCTGTTAAAATGTCTTCAACCACACATGGACAGATGGATGTGAAAGTAAAAATTACTTCCACTTCCCAAAGCAAGACTTTGCAGCATTATTTTCAAATACTTCTTCTTTTCCTCTGATTCCTCTCAGAATGTCCCCGCTGCGCTTTTTGATTATTTGTTGCATTTTCAAAAGCAACACCAATCACACAGTCACTCCTGGGATGCTAACGCGCCTTCTTATGAACTAAATATTCTTTCAGACTTACAAGGATTAATAAAGTAAATTGCAACATTATTGTTCATCTGACAGCTTTACTTCAAGAAGATCTGTGCACTAATATCCTGAAATATGTGATCAGTTTTGCTGGGGGGTCAAAAATAAATCTCAGAGCTACTAATTAATGAAATAATTACTCAAACTAATGTATTCATTCAGGATAGTATATATGTGGAATCAAAAATGACATTTTTAATGACTTTCATTTCAGCATTAATTCTTAGGCAGAAATGTGTGGAGTTTTTTTGTGTTGCTTAGTTACATTGTTTAAATGTCTTTTGACAAATTGCACCTATATAAATGCATTTATTTCACAGAACCAAAAATACCTATAAGCAAAAAGTAGTTCAAAGTTTCCAGAATCTTTTAAAGATATTTATTTACTTCTTTATTTATTGACATTGAGGCGCTATAATTACTATCAAAACATTAATCTTCATTAAGGATTGCATTCTTCTTTTTAGTAATTATGATAACGACGTCTATTATATTTTTTATTGCGGTTTTGCAAACAGGTGCAGCCACAAGCGTTGCATGCTTACGTATACCGACACCTGACCGACAGGCGGCGCAAACGAGCAAACTCGACCTAAACATTCCAGCTGTCCTCCGCTCTGTGACAACTCCACTGCTTCCTTGATTTATGCCTTCTTCTGTCTGAACCACGGTCAAAGAAAGGCTACACCTTAATTGGTCTTGTCGAACGAAAGGAGATTCCGGAAGAGAGTCATATAGTTGGCGGGGGTGAAAGTTTATTACATTGCTTTGCTTTTAAGGAGAGAGAAGGTAAGAAACAAAAATAAATTTGCTAAAGTTTCTTATCCTGTCGTGGAATAATTACTGGCTTTCACAGTTTTTTTACTTGACTTGCCGCTTTTGTTTTTTGTTTTTGTTTTTTGCTAACTGTTTATTGCTATATTTGTTGCTGTCGATATTAAAAAAAAAAAAAAAAAAAAAAAAAAAAAAAAACAGGCACTCTTCTAGGTTTCACTTTCGCCTCTCAGCTCACATGCTGAGGAAGAACACTGTAGTTAAATAATCCAAATCCTAGGTACCCGAACCTGTCAAAACACGAAAGAAACAAAGAAAAGCCGAGTGTTGGTGTTTAAATATATACTTCAAGAACAGTGTATGAAGTACAAAGCGAAGTAACTGCAGTGTCTTCAAACCTTAGGTGGTGGTGGGGGGGGGGTGATAAATTAAACTGGAATATTGTCTCTAAAATAACAATATAATAGGTTACAAAATAAAAATGAAATACACACTATGTAAAATTGTCATAAAATTCTTGCTCTATATATTTTTTTCATATAGAATGAGATTTCATAATGGATAAGTGAACTTTGTTCAGACTTTAAGAAACGTGGAAAAACATGTAAGGGCTTTTCCAGACAACTTCATAAAGCTTACCTGACAACTGAGAGATGACTGTGTGCGAACAATTCAGACAAATGTTCAGTGTACATATAAAAAAGGACAAATTCTTGCTTTCTTTTCAGCCTCAGCTAAGCAAAGTGTCCTGTAAGTACATGCTAATGTTTGTGGTGGAGTTTAGCGAGCTAGTCAGAGGTGAGTTTGGAAAGTCTTCAACAATAAGTTCTACTTGTTTACAAATAAAAATAAATAAATAAAAAAAAATCTGGGCAATATCTCAAGGAACCCAAACTAGTTGCTGTAAATGATGCATGAATTTATTGATTTACAGTTGCTAAACATACAACGATTTCGGGGGATTAAACTCTGACGGAAAATCAGATAGTTGGTAAATTCATGGACAGGGAAACTTTGTTGTATTTCAGCTGAATGCAAAATTGACATGGAAAAATGGTTGACTTGTACACACTAATCGCAATCCCTCAGACAACTTTCCATAGCACGATAGCTGGTGTTGCACTTGCGAGAATGAGAAGCATCACTCACTCAAGTTCATATGACAGATTTCAACTTGTAAGTAATTCAGTCCACCGTTCTTAAGACACGATTAAATGTCATTGACAGGATTTATCCAGGTCTTGATTTACAGCTATTACAATATTTTTCTTTTCCCTGACTAGATGCTCTCCTAATTCATCTGAGTTAATTACCTAACAAACTCCCCCAACCTTTTCAATACCTTCTCAAGCTGTTGAAAAGGACATCAGGTAACGCCCTGATGGTTATCGCATCAGGACGTTATCTGATTTGCTTTTTAAGCACAGATTCAATGCATTCTAAAAACAGAAGGAGGCAAGAAAACCTACAAAACCCCCAGAATATTTTACATTCTTCAAAAAGCAGGATGCCAGCAGAAAATTCACAATATGTTTTAAGTAAAAATAATATTGTAGCATGTTGAAACGGAGAGCAGCAGCTTTCTCTTTTGGCAAGCAACTTTGTGTGTCAAATAATTTTTCTTGTTCCGCTGGCAAATATATCAGAAACGTATCTCTACTTTCCTAAGAAGTAATAATAATAAAACAAAACACTTCTACACTCCTACCAACACAAATCAAGCAGTTCTTTTAAATGCTCCAAGGCTGAATCGAAGAAGTGCTACTAAAAACATGTTCGCCTTGAAAAATATCATAAAATACAAAACTCGGCAATGAATTTGCCTCACAGCTACCTCTGAGGCTATCGTACCTGTCATGGCAGTTAGGGTGGATGACATCTGAGCAAAGTCATACTAATAGGCTGAGAGGGACAAGTAAGCACGTGACGGGCATTCTCAGGTAATAAGTTTTTGGCATTTCAGATGTATTTTCCGGGCCAACCAGCAGCAAGTGGAGCCGCTCCTGGAACTGGTTACCAAGTGCAGGTTGTTCAAGGAGCCATTGAGGATCAGCAGGTAAGAAACTGTGCATCCATGTCAGAATTGCAGCAATAAATACCTCAATACTTTATTACGGATGTTTAAGATTGTGTTAAACTCTAGATTAAACATGATGTTTATGCTGGTGTTTAGCTAGTTGAAACATATGTTTTCCTCCTCTAGGATGATGCCATCGTATGTCCTATGATTGGCCATGATCCTCTCTCTTCTCGCATTGGAAACACTTTGAGCAATATAATTGGAGAACAGCTGGAAGAAAAGTTTAGCAAGGAAACAGGAAAGGCGACTCTGCCAAGTGAAACAGTTGTGGTTGAGGGCCTACCTGGTCTTAAATGTAAAGCAGTCATCTTCCTCAACCTACTCTGCTGGGATAATAATGAACATGGAACTGCAGTCCAGGTGATGAACTCGTGTAAAAATCGTACTCCAAATTTTGCCGTTTCCGTGTCTTTTTCAAAACTTCAACAAGCGTTGCCTTCACTTTCCAGGCGCTACGACAGGGAATCAAACGGATTCTGTCTGTCTGTAAAGTCAGAGGCTACAGTTCAGTAGCTCTGCCGGTTCTTGGGACCGGCGCTCTCTTACGCTTTCCACACAAAATTGCTTCCACAATTCTTCTGGAGGAGATTGGTGTATATGGACAAAACCGGACCAGGAAGTCGCCCTTCCTAGTTCGGGTCATTGTTTACCCAAAGGACAAACAATCGAGCCAGGTTAGAGAAATCTTATCACTTTTGTTTTAAAATTGAAAGTTTGACACTTTTTTTTTTTTTTACTTTTTTTTTTTCTTTTACAGGCTTTTAAGTGTACCCAGGGTGTGTTGCTTCAAAAAGGATACATAAGCCATGTTAATTTAGCTGAAGGTTATATAACTTATATTTTTCATAATACTGTGAATTGTATCTAAATGATCTTAACATATTATTGTTATCTCATCTGTATTTGATCAGCATTCTGACTATTTGGCCTCTGGCCAATGACCTTCTGATGTTTAATATTTGAACTGCATTTTTACTGTAAGAATCTTCCTAATGCTAAGCTAAGCTATCTAGCTTTGTGGAATACATACTGAAGTGGCAACCCTTAAGAAGTTCTGACCATAAATCATTATCCTTCAATTTGTTACTTTTTATTCCCACTGGTAACTTTTGCCCTTCTGCCATTTTTACTGGTCCTTTAGTGTTGAACCACTAGCTTGTGATCCAATTCAACAACAAGAAAAATTAAATAAGCACTTATATAGTTTATAAGAAAAGTATTCAGTGTATCAATTAGTTTAAATTTACAGATGACCAGGATGATTAAAGGCAGCAAAATCTATACAGACTGCCATGAAACCAGGACTTTTTACACTTTTATAAAACCTTATGTACAAAATTTGCAATAACCACTTCGGCATAGTCATATTATATACAGACCTATTCAGTAACTTATAACATTATTTAAGGGGTAACTTGTTTTATTCTTCTGTTTACAGTGAATGAAAACATGACATTTAAGATTAGAATATTACATCAGACAAATAAAAGACATTTAGGGGACATGAAAACTATATCAGTTGTATTTCTACACACTGTACAGTATGTTGGTACAATACCAATAAATATTATCTATAATAACTGCATAAAAGTTTTGATCGACTGAACATTTTAGATTTGTCTCCAACTTATACTTCAGAAGTCTAAATTTAAACATATTGTTGGAATTTACAGATGTTATATTATTAGAACAGGCACAACAAAATGACCAGGAAAGTACATTGAACCAGTTTGATTTATAACATTTGAGATTAAAATGAAAAACATGTTTTGTTTTTGCTGCCACCCCTCCAGGTTCCTTTTACCAATGTGTGTCTGCAGTCGATGACGAGATCACAGCCATGATCGGCACAGTCAAACTTCAGCTGGTCTGCGGCGACATCGTAAACGCAGGAACTGATGTCATTGTCAACACGACCAACTTTTCTAATCTATGGTTTGGTAATATTTGAGTGTTTACTTTTTAATAAACATGGAAAAGAACAAATGGGTTTTACTGGTTTCCTTATAAATAGCATTTCAGTTGGCCTTCATTCTTACTGATTCGTGTATCTTATACATTTCAAAGGTGTCTCCAAAGCCATTCTGCAAGCAGCAGGCCCAGCTGTCCATGCTGAGTTGGTACAAGGTAAACCTCATTGACAGATTTAAAAAAATATATATATTCCTTTTTTTATGTTCATAGGAAATGCATCCTTAAATCACTTAAGACCAAGTCAAAAGTGAGCAAAAGTTGACTTTGGATCAACTGTCATATTCATTTTTAATACTTTTTGACTTCCAGATGCCCTCATATAAAAGCTATTGTCTAACTGTAATTGGAATATGTTTCAGATAAAGAATACAGAACATCATGTTTGCTTTTGTTTGCTTTTAGTGGGCATTCCAGAAGACCTCATGTGCACAACATCAGCTGGGAAGCTTGGATGCAAACAAATAATCCATGCCAGGTTCAAGGGCAGCACCCATAGGATCCGTAGCACTTGCAAAAAAATCCTGCAGCTCTGTGAGAGCAAAGGGTACGGCTCAGTGGCCTTCCCAGCCATTAACACAGGTTTGAATAAGCTTATCTGTGTGTCATTACATACATACTTGCTTACAGTAGTTAATCTGTTAGGTGAGAAGAAGGCAAACGTTTAAATTTTAGGGTTAAAATTAATAATGAGTTATGTTAACCATAGAAACACAGCTAATAGTAGCATGTCAACTTAAAGCTGTTTGTTCACCCTTACAGGACAGGCCGGTATGCTCTTTGGTGAATCTTGTAAAGCAATGTTGGACGGCATGGCCGTGGCTGTCAAGGAGATGAATCCAGATTTTGTATCTCTGATCCGCATCGTTATCCTGGAAAAACAGGTCTTTCAGGCTTTCAGGTTAGATGGTGAACTCACAGCAGCCATAATATGTGTTTTTTTTTCTTTAGGTCGTGATGCACTGTTTTAATATTGTAACGTTGTAATGTTCCAACAGATCCGAGCTGGAGAGTCGCTGTCAGCAGGATGACTTTCAGAGCTGGTTCAGCTTTCTAGGTTTTATTTACATTTCCTTCAGTGAACCATTTTGACATAGATTAGTAATTCAACCCACTCATATAGATAATACAACAAACTTAGTAAAAATTATTTTGCTTTTATTTGTATTACATCATTTAAATCTAGATAAAGGGAAGTTACACTTTCTGGGCAAAGTTACAGCATGAAGGATCTGCACCGCTTCTTATTCCTTTTTCCTAAACTTACTTACTTGGGGACATTAGAGCATACTTTCTCCACCATCCATTCTTAGTTTAGTTGGTTATTCTTTAGTTTTCTTCATCTCAGTGATTTGAAACTAAACACCACAGGTCACATGCCTCATCTACAAAACCAATCATATTCAGCCTACGCTGGCAAAACGTCATCTACACTTATAATTCATGTACCTGGACATGAATTATGGGCCATTCATGCCAAATATAAAAGTCCAGTTCAAGCAAACATTAGAGAGGTAGTTCTACAAACTACACTTCTTCAGGTCACTTTATCATTGCTGATGTCCTGTGAAGTTTTGGAACAACATGGACTGAAGCAAGTAGCATAACTACACATATAGCAGTAGGACCTGTTATATTTACTTAACCAGGTTGCACTTTACATATTAAAATTGTGTTGGAGCCTGAAGTCCTTGACTTTCTTGCCAACATTCTGAAAATTAAAAATCATAAAATGTAGTCTGTTCTGTTGGTCCGTTAGTCTTGTAGATTTTGACCAAATTCTGCTAATGTTTGGTTATTTTTCTTTCCTTTTACAATCTCATCAGTCAAAAATGTTAATGAAGCCTGTAAGGAAAAAGCAGTTCTTTAAAGATATACATTTCCTGTTTTAGGGTTCTCTAAACGACCAACAAAGAAAATACTGGACATGTATTTAGCAAGCTCATCGTCTACATCACCACAAGACCAAATGGTAATGGTGCCAACACCTGATCCAGTGGAGTCACAAGAAATCTTCTGTTGTCAATGTCATGAAATATTTGCAGGGTGAGCTTCCAGAGGGAGCAAAGTGGGCGATTGAAGATGAAAGTGGAGAATTGCTGGAACTCTGCCTGCTTGACAAGGAAGCTGACTTGAAGAGAGAAATGTCTTTGGATATGTCGACAAAGGATGGCAAACGCTTCACAGTAAACTTAAAAACCAGAGAAGCAACAGACTGTTCGACAGGCGCATCGTACAAAATGAAAAATGTGGCAGCTGAGCCTGGTATGCTGCATGTTGTAGTTTCTCATGTTCCCATTATTCAATGTCTAACTGAACTTTTTCAGCATTTAAAATCTCAAAATTATTTGATTAGACAATGTGGCTTCTGCTTTGGCGCTGGAGTTACCGCCACACTGGGAACCTATGACTGGGCAGCACTTTAAAAAGGTAGAGTTAGACCCTAAATCGCCCGAGTATCAGGAAGTGGCCAACAATTTCCATAAAACTACTTCCTACACCATTCACAAGGTAAGTTTGCTTACACAGAAACATCTTCAGATTATCCCAGCAAAAACAAAATGTGACTAATTTTTTGGAACGCAGATTGAGCGAGTGCAGAACGTCTACCTGTGGCACGCCTTCAGCATCTGCCGGTACCGCATACTTTCCAAGAACGGCGAAGCAGACCTGGGTGAAAAGTTTCTCTACCATGGCACATCTGCAAAATCATGCAAAACCATCGAAAGAGACCGATTCGACAGGAGTTACGCAGGACGGCATGGTAAGACTTGATTTAAAAAAAAAAAAAAAAAAAAGCGTTCCCAGAATATAACGACTAATGCAAAATGACAAACACAATCAATCCCAAAATGTTTATCATTGTGTTAAGTGGATTTGTTTTCATGTAACTTTCTTACAGCTACAGCGTTCGGAAAGGGGGTGTACTTTGCTGTCAACGCAAATTTCTCAGCCGTCCACTACTCCTTAGCAGACGAATTGGGCCTAAAGCGACTGTACGTTGCGCGTGTTATTACCGGCCGCTATACAGTTGGTAATTCCACCATGAAAGCCCCCCCTCCTCGAGGTACAGACCCTACCGACTGCTTCGACAGCTTGGTAAACTGTCAGGTGCAGCCCACCATCTTTGTTATCTTCCACGACGACCAGGCCTACCCAGAGTACCTCATCACCTTCAGCTGAGCAAAACCAAGGACACTCGGAAACATTCACACCTTGCAATTCGTAGTCACTGTTCACTCACTGTGACGTTCCTCTTCTCAGTGCTAGTGGTTTGATATAAAGTCCCACAATTTGGGCTTCTCCAGGTCTACCTCTCATTCACTGTTTGTATCAAACTTTTTACCAACCTGCTCTGGATGATTGACTACTGGTGGGAGGAAAAACAGGCAATGCTTTGGAAAGAATTTCACACTTTTGTCAGTCACAACCAATCACTGTTTGTTCTGACCGCCAAATTTCACTGTGGGTGTGGTGCCATTTCTAAATCCAGTAGCGTGACATCCAAAAAGTTACAATATACTGTTATCTGAACAGATTTTATCCTACCTGTGTTTTGAAATCTGGTTCCACCATTTTGCAGCAAACTACAGACAAGTTTCAACTTGCTTGCTCTGTAGCGGCTAAGTGCATTACTAACTGTTACAAGGAAAAGGGACTCTGCTAATCCAGAGTCTTCCTAAGAGTATACCTTGGCTATTGCTATTGGATTGCTTTTTTTTTTTTTGAGTGTTTTTTATTTCTGTGTCCTATGGATGAATTTTCCTTTGCCAGTCATGACCCCAACAGTGCTCACTGGACTATTCAGAAATTTACAAAACATCCATTTGTATCCACTGTAGTTGGTATTGTTTTTGGTACTTTTAAGGTTCTAAAGAGAAATGTTTGGTAAGGTAATCACTTTCTGCAAAGTTAGTTGATTTTAATTTGACTGATACAAGGAGGATTGCTTTCTACATAAAAGCAATCCACAACATGTAGTCAGTTGTTAGACACTTTACCCCATTATCCTCCCACTGTAGTACACATGATGTCTTGAATTAGTTTGACCTACATTTTCAGATCTGACTGTATTGTGTGGTTGGATTTTAACCTCCAGGTTGAATGGGAGGTCAAAAAGGAGAGATGTCACACTCAGGAAGTGCCAGTATTGTTTGTTTACAAGTACCAGCCAACTTCAAGCTCTTGAAAATAAATAACCAATAATCAGTTCATAAAAATCATAATCGTACCAGGCTGTTTAAATTAGTATACATGTAGAGTAATTGCAAATCTTTCACAACTGCTTGTGAAAGTAGTCCCTCCTATTTTTCTCAGAACATGAGTAAATTTGAAAATAACTCCCCTTTTTTTTAAAATCATAACTACTTTCTGAAATATGCAAGAACATATTGTATTTGTATTGTGCTGAGGGGTTTGGTAAATTGGTGTATTTTGTAATGGGATATATTGTAAATGGGAAAACTTATTAGCAATAACTAACTAATATTCAGTGCAGCTCTGCGTCTCCCATGGATTTTAGCTTATTAACTAATTGGGTGATGGTGCCTGAGTGTTTGACAGAAAGGTCTTACAACCATGAATGGACTGCTTTATTTTAACACTTTTGTGTTTTAAAATATATGGACTCAGCTTGTTGATATTGTCTGAGCTGCTTATGCTAGTCTTACATCACTGGTGATTTGTTTTTTTTATTTTTTATTACTGTACTTTTTGCTATGTTTTATGTTTTACAAACACACTTTGGTCAATAAATGTTTTTGTACCAGACACAGAAGCGGTTTAAACATTTATGAAATTTTTAAAATGTGACAATGCAAATGTTTGAAATCAACATTTTATTTAGAGGACGTTTTGCTGAACAGATAATGTGAAGTGATGTGTGTTAGAGGGTTTTAGCAATTTGGGCTTTGGTCCATAACCACTGTGAATACCCTTGAACCACTGTGTAGCATATACTGAGCACATATTGTTCAGACTTTTGTTAATTGGACAAAAAAAAATGATAACATACAATATTTACAAACTAGAAATTTATTTTTTTCAAATAGATGCATGAATAAACACAGTGTATTTCTTTATACCACTGGTAAATTTGGGATGGGGGGTGATCTATTTATTTATTTGTTTATTTATTCATTTCACCATAACTTTATTTCTGCTGCAGTAATGGAAGCCCCAGGGAAAAACACTAAACTTGTCATACATTAAAATTTACAAATTGTTTCATTATTTCTTTATGTAAAATAAAATGGAGAAGTTATATCCTATCTTTACATGCATTTGAGATTTCGGTGCTGATAAGTTGCAGAACCTTGTTGTCAGACATCGCCCCCACCCCTACCTCCTCTGTTGACGTCGGCTCATATCAATAACAGGAAGCGCGTGTGCGCAAACTCGTCATGCAAAATGCCAGCTGATTTCCGAACAGCCGGAGCCGAGTTCAGGTGCGGCTTCCAGGTGGAATAAACTTCCAAGTTTATTCGTCAGCTTCTTCAATTAGCGCTCACCATGGACGCTTCTTACAAGTTTCCCGTCTTCTTTAACTGCGACCGTTTGAACGACGAACAAAAAAAGAAGATAGAAAATTATTTCCAGATTCGGCGCAAATCGGGCGGAGGAGAGAGCGGCTCGTTGACTGAAGTCGGCGGAAAAGTTTACAGCATTGCTTTTAAAGATGAACAAGGTAAGACAGCGGACTCATTGAATATGCAGTTCAACTTTCTTTTCTAAGAATGAGTTGCAGTGAAAGCGAAAGTAAAATTTAACAGGAGGATGTCGCAGCATACATAGTGATATTATATGTATATTTTATTAGTTTAGGAAGGTATTTTAGTAGACATATAGAATGTTTTGTTAATGTTATTCAGGGTTTTTTTTTCTGCTAGGCTGCGTATATTCCTTTCTATTTTTAGACATAGGACAATTCATAGTTTCACTTTCACACCTGAGAGTTCAGCTGTTGCATAATTTAACTTTTAAATAGCTGGGATAATGATGTGTGTGTTATATATATATATATATATATATATATATATATATATATATAATATGAAGGAAACATGTTACCTTCATTTTAATTTAATTCTGAAATGTAAAATTTGATTTAAAAACATTTAAGACAATTTTATCATAATAATGCTGTTAGCAAAAAAAAAATTTGAGGCACTTCTCGAACTCAATTGGAGAAAAAATATTTTGTCCTACACCATAAATCCAGTTGGTCAAAAATAAATAAATCGGTAAATATGGACCTTCTCATGTGTCTGGAATAAAGATAGGATTTGTTGATTTACTGATTTTTGTGTGTGTTGTCTTAATTGTAAACCATTTATCTTCTAAAATCACCAGTTTTAAGTGAGTAAATGTGTTAAATAATGAGGTTCAAGTCAATTTCCAGCACCACATGTGACAGTAAAATGAAACTGGTGAGTTGGAGCCAGTTTACCAGAAACAGTCTGACATCCTTTAATGAAAGTAGAATGCCACACCTTTTCCTCAACTTCGTTTACTCGCGTGGTTTCTGTAACACTTCTCAAATGTGTGTTAACGCAACATGCATACATTTGGCATAAATATGTTAAATATTCATTATTTTTTTATTTCTTTCATGTTTCCACCGCTGTAGCTCAACAAAGAGTCCTGCAGAAGTCAAAGCATGTTGTGGATTTAGCTGGTGTAGCCATAGAGCTGATTGTGCAAGACAATCCCGGACCCGCCGCCTCTTCTCCGCCTCCAGACCAGTCAGCCAACCTGAACCTGAATGCATCGGCCACATCTCCGGTACGTTTGTGAAAATCGAAGAAAACTGAAGTAAAGTTGGAAAGCTGTTTTTTTTTTTTTCGTCGTAGTTTTATGACTGATTGTTTCATTGCAAAATGTGCTTCTCGCTCCATCTCTTAAAAGTCAGAGTGCAATTTGATGGAGGAAAATATGAACATGACCACAAGCGTTTTCCCGCATGAATACCGCTGAAATCAGTTCACCATTTCAAATATTAATTTAATCTGCAGCCAGCAGATTAAAATAGTTTTAAGATTTGAGATATTGTGGTGTAACTCGACTTCTCCTAATCATCCATGCCATGTGTAAAGATTGAACTCAAAGTTTCTTTCCTAAGCTGCTCACACAGGCCCAAGAAGTAGAAAACGTTATATAGAATGGGTGTGGCCCATGAGACAATAAAGCACAAAATATGCTGAGCTGGATTCCTGTCAAGATTTATTTCCTCCTGAGCTGTGCTCCCAGATAAATGTGCAGGTCTTTGTCACTCCAAAATTCACTCAAATTACACTCTGGGCTTTCTATTTTGAAAATTAAAACCTAATTAAAAAACATAATTCAAATGTTTAAAAATAATTTTTGAAATAAAATGTCACCAAAGTCCATAACTTTTTTTGAAATAATCATGCTGTTGAACCTTAAATTTTTGTAATTTCTCACCAAAACTCAAGTCGCTTCTACATGGGCCACTTTTAAAATGCTGTAATGGAATTAAACTGTTGGCAGGAAACGTAAACGTTGTCTTGATTTAAACCTCTGTGAAAGCAAAATATACATGAAAGATTGACCCTGCTACAGTATGGGAAACTATTACTACTATTGACATGTTTTTTTTTTATTATTATTGTACCTCAGTAGATATTATAGATATTCCTACTGAAGTGTTTTCTGGATTCTCCCCAATATGATCAGGAAATGTCGGAGTTACAGAATAATCTCTAACATTTATCTTTGAGTCACTGTATCTTTTACAGTATTGAAATGTAGCTTCTAGAAAAATCTATTGCTTGCTGAAAAGCTAATTTGGTGCATGTTTTTTTTTTTTTTTTTTTGGCAACAGACACAGCTGTCCGGTATTCCTCCAAAACTGCCACCAACTAGTGAAGAATATGAGCTAACTTGCGACGCGTATCTCCTCCGCTACCTGAACGAATCTCCAAAAGTCAAAGGAGAACTAGACGGTCAGCTGGCCTTACTTTCCTGCACCGCTGAGCTCCAACCAGAGGAGGACAGAGTTTTAGTCAGGCGAGTAGCTCAGCCAGGTGCTGAACCTAACGACTGGAAATCTGAGGTCAACCAACTGTTTGATGGCTACACGTGCCACTATGAGATGGACGCTCACAAAGTCAAAGCTTTGCTGCAGTCCTACAGCTCTTGTCTGCCTGAAGATGAGGTGAAGGTGTACAATGACATCGGAATGACTGTTGTTGTGGGAGAACGAAGCCAGGTGGAAGGAAAGTTAAGCGATTTAGAGTCTCGCTATGTTAAAAATAAAGGATCTCGTCCAAGTGACATACAAACCACTTTTCGTCGAATCGGTGAGGCAAAACTGCGTCTCCTCTGGAAGGTGATTGAAAGCAGCCTAGGGCAAGACTTT